CTACTTTTTACTTAATTGTCTAAGAATCTATTTTTATATTCTAGGATTATATTTTGAGATTTTGTTCAAAAAGGAACTATTTATTAAAACCTTTTTGATACAATCATTTCTTATGGTTGTTATCTTTTTCAAAATTCCTTTCCAAAAATTAAACTTGTTTTCATTCCAAAACATGCGAACTCAGTTCTATGTACAGAATGAAAAAGAGTATCTTAGAATATATGTCCTATAGAATAGAAAAATTAGTTTCTACTACTTGATTCATAGTGTTTTACTTCTGAGATGTGAGGCTTTTCACAAGTGAAGTTCTCATATATTTGAAGTATCCAAGCTAATAATGCTCTCGTTAGATTGCTTTTTGTCCATTGAAAACTGAAGAGTTTACTTCATTAACACGTTGTTAGGATAATGTAAGGGTTATGATTCAAATTAAAGCTATTGATTATTCAAATCACTCCTCACACTTGATATGACATGATAGGTGACATTTTTATCTTGAGATCAAGTAATAAATCTTTACACTTTATTTCTTGTCATAATTGATTCCTTTTACTGTTACCTATTTCCTAGACCTTTGTCAGTTACCTAATACCTTATACTTGTTTGGTATTCCTTTCATATTCCAATTTTTTTTATGCGTTTAGGTTTCCTATGTGATGCTCTCTTTGAAATTGATGGTAGTCCATTTTCTTCGTTAACCATTAATTGCTTTGCGTGTTTTGAGCTTGTTTATCTTAAATTGTTTTGTCTTTATTGCTTTGATTCGTCTCATCATTTCCTCTATTTATATTCGTTCTTTCATCTTCAAACAATCATTCCTTACTCTTCCATCTTCACAAAAATATTAAATTTTTAGGTTATTTCTTTAGGATCCACTTATATGTAATTTCATCCCACATTGCTTACTTATTATTATTTTGGATAAGAAAAATGTTTCAATTTTTTGAACTTTAAATTGTATTTTTAGGTAGACATTGTTTATAGTTTATTGTCATTTTCCAAATAGTTGCTATAATAACTTTTTTTTTACATAATAGTTATATGTTTGAATTTGTCATATTGTTCAAAAGGATGTGTGTGACATATATGGATTTCTTGAAATATGTTGAAAGCACAATTTTAAACTAGTTTAAAGAGAAGATTGTTTGTGGTTGAACTGATCAAATTAGATACTTTAAAAATACTACAACTAACATAGTTGAATTCGCTCATGCTAATTGAAGATCTGGTTGGAAAATAGTAAAAGGAATTTGTGTATGGGTTGGGAAACATTGAGAAAAATGATTCAAAATCAACATAACAAAATCCAAATATCATTTGGTCAAAGAATCACAGTATTAGAGCGTAGATTATGAGACAAAAATCTTTATTCACAATTGATCGACAATATATGTTGGACTGGGTTGAAATTTATTTATCATAAATCTAAGAAAGTATAGAAAATAGGTTCTGATAGCTCAAAGTGTCAATGTACACTTAGACATATGGTATTTCGTGTGCTTATTTAATTTTTAAAAAGATGAGACTTGATAGGCCCATATGTTTGGATCAGGTTTACTCGAACTCGAAAAGGATACGGTTTGATGATGATGGTGTAATAAAGGAGATTAAATTAAATATATCTATTATAACATAGTTAGAGGTGATTCAAGAGAAATTTTTTGAAAGCTGATGATAACATATAATTTCACGTTAAAGAGTAGTTAAAGAAGATTGTGTATCCAAACACCACATATTTGAAACCACCTGCAGAATCAATAAAAACAAAGAGTGCTCCTAAGAAGGCCAAACCAACACTGAATGACAATTCAACCAAGCGATCTCCATCCTATTTCCAACATAGTGGCACACTTTTTTCGGACTCTCCAATTTCACAATCCAAAAAAAGTTCTATCAATGGTGCTCGCATCAGTAAACCATTTCCTTCACCACCTTTACCGAAAATGATACATATTGAAGAAATGTTATTTTTTAGGCACAAATATATTTATCGGATTATAGATGTTAAGGGTGATGGTAACTACTATTATTGTGTTGTTTTAGCTTTGCTGGGTAACAAAAAGGAGAATCATAGACTTGTCTGCCATCATCTTATCAAAGAGTTGGAGGTGCATAAGGAATCATACACAATTATATACGAGTAAAAAGATTGATGAAGTTTATGCGTCTCTTATTCTTTGTGTTAGTAATCCAACACTAGAGGAAAAATAGACATGTTTCTCTAAAATGAGTCATTTTATAGTAAGCTCATATGATAGGGTGTGTGGTGATCTAACAAGATATGGTTTCTCAAAAACATTTTTCCTATTTCAAAGTGGTCCACCTCAAAATCTAGTCGAACACATTATGGGTATTGGATGCCTTTCAAAACCACTATATTTTGTTCAAGTTTATTTGAAACTGTGATATCCTATACCACAAACAATCTCTGAGTGAACATCTCATTCCACAAAATAAACTGAAACTTTACCGAATAATTTTTTAGATAAGATGGAAGAGTTTACCGAGTTGAGCAAAATCTAAAGAGAATCAAATCAGAAAAAACCAAAGTCTTAATCATCCATAGATATAGATTTAAGTGGTGACACATTTTATGATGCATTTTAATTTCATCTTACAATGCATTTGAGTAGTGACACATTTTTTTTAAAATGTAATGTTGGATTATCATTTTCAAAGATGTAATCCAGATATATTTTGATCTATTTTATTTTATATCTTACATTACATGTATAAAAATTGGACTTAAATTTTTTTTGTTAAACGATAGGTTACATATGTGTGTAAATTTGCTTGTGTTATTTTAATATCTAGGCAAACTTTATTTTTTGTGTTATTTCACACGTAAAAAAGTTAATCTAAATTGCAATATCTGAACAAATACATATGTGTACCTGATTGAATCTGGATTTCAATTTCCGAGGTGTCTCCTCCTGAGACAAGATTGCTCTTGTATGGTCCATATTGATCTAAAACCATTATACATGAATCATATGTTGGTAATAACAACACATAAGAATGAAAAAAAATTGGTATATCGCATTTGTTTACTTCAATAACGTGATATCTCCTTTTGAATTTATGATCATAGAGGACACTCTCTTGTATATCTAAAATCCAAACTAAAGAATCTCTTGCACTACTTAGACAATTGAAGACTGTTTAAGACCGAGTACTGTTCACCATCGATTGATAACAAAGGAAAGATGAAGTTCAACAAATTTGAGTTGAAGACGAATGAAAATTTAAAAATTATGTGCAAGGCCGATGAAAGGGCTGTGCAAGCAGTGCCTTTGCACAAAGTCTCCAATTAATGGTATGTTTTGCAAAAGACCTTCAATTATTGGTCTACAACCACAATTTAAATATTACATATTGATGCAAATGTTGATTCAAAAAGAACAATCACGTAGATAATAAACTTGCATAAGGCGTTAAAGAGTGTAGTATGAAATGCCTACGTCCTTAAATGTATTTTTTTTTTAGGAAATAATCTTTATTGTCTTTAATCTCTAAAGAAATAATACCAAGTTAAATATATTTAAATAAATAAATTTGACTAAATTAATAGTCTAATACCAATTAATTATAAAATATTCTCCTAGTTTTAAAATATACTACATTTTTATTATATAACATAACTTAAAAATATAAATAATTTTATACAAAATAGGAAATTATAAAATTATATTTTATTAAATATTAAAAGAAGAGAGAATAATAACAAATTTTTTGTGTTATTTACTATTTAAGTAAATAATAATTTTTAAAATAATTTTTTATATTATTACTGACATAATTTTATTAGAACATTGCCTCTGAATTATTTAAGACGATCCTAGTTATGTGAAATACATTTCATTGTTAAGCAATGAAGGATTTAATAAAGATCGATGTGACTATTGCAAGATCGACCAACGATATTATAAAAATATTTAGATTAATAAAAATCTACGTAATGTTACATATTTTGTGTATGTGATAATAAATATTTATATTAAATTATAATTTTCTTCTTTCCTTTAAAATTGTTTTAGTTTTGTGTTAACATGGTATAACTTGGATTTCGAAATCCTGAATTCCTAAACATTATTAATTTTGAATTTTGACATTTGGACAAATTCCCAAATATCATAAAAGATTGATTTTGGGTGTAATATAGTGGAGGTGCATTCAGAGTCTTAAATTCAATTAAACGTAAACATTAACTTCAATATATTTCTAAATTTATTATGAATTTAGAGCGCAGTCAAAATTCAAAATTTAAAGATATTTTTGAATTTAATCAAATGTATGCGTAAGTAATCTCAAGTAATCAAGAATTTATATTCAAATCTATTTATAATATACAAAAAGATAGTTTTGTATGATTCTAATCCAATACAATCTGAATTAAGACCCCTTATTATGATAGTAATAAGAATAATAGCTCACTCTAAATTAAAAATAAAATAAAATAGTTATTAAGCACGAGTTAGAAAGAAACAAAAAAGAAGTTAAAATGGAATGAAATGCACATAACGTGGTGTGTGGGCTATGGAGGAGAGAGATAAGAAGCTTTGTCGTTTCTGCATCCACCTGTCCACTGTCACTGCTCCAGTCTCTCTGCTAAATGGAACGCCTCTTTTCCGTTCAAATATCATCATTATAACAAACACTCTCCTTCTTCACCCTCTAGTACGTTTCTCTTTCTCTCTTTCTTTTTCAATTTCATACCTAGCTTTATCTTCCAACTCTTGCATTTTATTCAATACCATTTTTTCCTTTCAAATTAGTAATATTCTTGATTTTTTCTTTTTTTAAGAAAAATTAGTATGTTCACTTTTAGGTATATTCTTGATGCCTTTTGCATTTTTTAATCATTGATAATGATGCAGTTTATAAGTTGTGTTTCATTTCTCTTACTTGTTAAAATGTCTATAAAAGCTACAACAATAGCAATAATCTCATTTTGATTTTTTACTTTGCAGATTAGTTTCCTTAATATATTAGCTTTTCTGATGAAGTTGAATGCAAAATCTCATTCTTCACGGTGGGAATGGGATAACCTATCATTTTTCAATACAAAAGAAATTGAAAATCCTAAATCACAACCACCGAATCGGAGTATCGAATTGGATCGAGAAAACAATGTCGACTTGTTCGATACGCCCGATGGAAGTGGTTGCTCTGGGTCTGAGTTAATTCATGATTCCATATCAAGGTGTTCGAAATCATCAAATAGGGATAAGGATAATAGCAAAACATGTATATTTTCTTTTGAAAATTCTCATGATTTCAATGATAAGATAGAATTGTCTAAAGAAGATCCAATTGAAAGTTCTAATGCACCAGAGCTTTCTTCTGTATCTGGTGAACCATTGCTCACTCTAAAACTTGGTAAACGGATGTACTTTGAGGATTTAAGCTCAGAGAGTGATCCCAAAAACTTATCTATTTTTGGGGATTCCATGTCAAATGTAAGTATTGGAAAGAAATGTAAGTCAGTTGGTAGGAACTTACAATGTTCGCACTGTCAAGTTGAAGGTTGTGGCCTTGACCTTTCATCGGCGAAAGATTATTATCGCAAACACAGAGTTTGTGAAAGTCATTCAAAATCTCCTAAAGTGGTTATAGCTGGTTTGGAACGACGATTTTGCCAGCAATGTAGTAGGTAAAGCTCCTTAAACAAATGTATGATTGTTTGGATATAATTGACATAGGAAATAATGGCATTTTTTTGTAATGATGAATTCTCATTAGCACATGATTAAAAGCTGAGCATTACGCAATGTGATTTAGCTTCTTGTTTTTTACGGCTGGTGTTTAAATTGAATAGTTTGCTTCAAAACTTATCTTTGCTTGTAATGTTGAAGGTTCCATGCTCTTTTTGAGTTCGATGAAAAAAAGAGAAGCTGTAGACGACGCCTTTCACATCACAATGCAAAGCGCCGTAAGCCTTGTCCTCTTGATGTTGTCCAATCAAGTCAATCAGTTCTGTCTTCTTCACGATGTGGTAATATTAATTTTTCTTTAGGTTTGAAGTTTATTTCAATTTTTGCTTGTTATTTGTTTTTGGTTGCTAAAGCTGAAAAAAATAAGAAATCTAGAAATCTAAGACCAATAATGCAAGCTTAAGTTGACTATTAACTTTGGTGAGTGAAAAGTGTTTGAAAAATTGAAATTCATAACATGGTTTTGTTTGTTGTCCTGCTTAGTTACAGAACAATACAAATTATTATCGCGATTGTTTGCATTAGACTTGAGCTTGCGTGAGCATGATGTTCCTAAGCCTTAGTCTTTACTAACTAGATTTATATAAGTATGACATTCTTAAAAATCCGACATAGTCATAATACAACTTCAACTTTTGCCGTTGGTCAAAACATAGACCAAAGAACAGCCAATTCTAACTGTTTTCTAGGTTTATTATAGTTAACCGCAAGGTTTTCATTTCAGGATGATGCATATTTCACTCTTGTCTTCTATCTTCTGACATATTTTAGTTCTGCAGATGGAGAACAACAGATGAGTCCATTTTCTTATTCAAAGACTGCTACAAATTTAGCCGGCCAAAACATAGACAACAATGTGCTCCTCCAAACAAAAAATTTTCTCTTGAAGCCTGCAAAAGATAACATTGACGCACCACGTACTGTCACTATGCCTCGCGTGATTTTGTACTAAGTTTAGATTGTTACGTTTTTCATGTTAACATAATCTATTTATTTTGGCCACATTGGTTGCTAACATGATCTATTCATTTGGTGGAATACTGCTTGCAGGTGTAGAAGATTTCATTACCTTTTCTGATACAAATGCAACACAAGACTTTACTTGTGCTCTCTCTCTTCTGTCAACCAATCCATGGGATTCGTATGCGACTGAATCTATTTCTCTAGAACATTCTAATCGCACAAGCAGTTGTTCTCAAGCCATAACACATGCAATGAGTCAGGGCACGCCGCTTGCTTCATCAGAATATATTAGTGAACATGATCAACGTGTCAATTCCAGCATGTGGATCTCAAACTCAAACTGTGAAGAAAGCAATCACTTTCAAGAATTTCAACTGTTGAGAGAACCTTATGAATCTGGTTTTCACCAGTTGGACTAAAACGAGTGTTCTTACCCCAAATAGTTTCAATCTAACAATTTTACAGACAAGGTAGATTCCATCTCATGATTTCTGATATGTAGGACCTAATTTTTTTGGTAATGACTATTTATTATGTCTCATTTCTCATGGTATCAAAACAATGCGAGAAGCAGTTTTCTAATTCTAGCTTAATGTTTGTTCTAATGCCAATTCTAGCCCTTATCGACTTTCTTCTTTTGACTCAGGTTTCCAATTTGCCATACCTTAGTTCGCTCTATTTTCGGTTCCCTTTGCTAACTTTGTTGAACTTCAATGATCTCTCTGGTTGCCTTGTGTAGAACGTTAACATCACCACCCTTCAACATGACATCTATCCAATTACAGAGATGGACATTTAGCTAAGTTGTTTTTGATAATGGCCCTAGTTTTTGATATAAATGATTTATTTAGTGTTATATGATTCAGTTTGTTTTAGTTTTTTTTTTAATTAAAAAATGATTTTTATAGTGTGAATATTTTACAAAGAATTTTTTAAAAAAATACTTCAAATATAAAATTGGTTTGAATAATTATTTTTAAAATGTTATTTTAGATACGTTTTAACTTATATTGCACAATATCAAAATTAATGTTTCAATTCATAAAAAACAAACTTAAAAACCTTTTAATATTTTAAAAAACGTTTTTATAAAAAATATTTTTTTAAAATACGGTTTTTTTAAAGCTAAAACAAATATGTTTAAGACTTAAGAAAAACCAAATAAAAAGTTGATTTAATTAGTTATTGACCAAATATTATTTTAAATATTTTATCTTTTTATTATAACTTTTTTAATATTAAAATTTTAAAAATCACTTAAATTTAAAATTATTTAAAATAATTTTTCATAAAAAATATTTTTAATATATATATTTTTAAGAAGTTACAATATTTTAATTCTCAATATATATATTTATGTTATTAGATATCAAAATAATTTTTCAAGTTACATAAAATGAGTTAAGAAAAACTGTTACAATATCGTTTTTTAAATTTCATAAAAATTAATTTTTAAAAATAAATATATAAAGTTAAAAAAAGGGGCCGAATATCAATTGACAATTAAGTCAATTGTTAAAAAATTCTTAGATGGAAACAGGGAATTATATATACAATCAATTACAATATTTTTTTAATTAAAATAAAATTAAAATTTTCTATCTTCTTCGTATCACAACTGTCCTATAATTCTAATTAAAAAATAAAATAAAAATTTTCTTTCTTCTTATTAAATATTTTTAAAAATATAAATTAATATGTATTTTTATACAAATATGTCTTCAATTGCTAAAAGAAAACGTAGTAAAATAATTAGAGAAATCAAAACAAATAATTAGCCTAACCTTTTCTTACAAAAGTAAGTTGTAGTTTTAAACCTAAAATTTAATTGATATATATGGATTGTGTAAAGATTTTTTAATTAGAATTTAATTGTTAAAAGATTTTTTATACTGTTAATTAATAATAATTAATGATTTATTTAAAAAATTTAACTTTTATTTTAATTACTTAAAAAATAATATCAATGAATAGTTATGATATATATATATATATATATATATATATATATATATATATATATATATATATATATATATATATATATATATATATATATATATATATATATATATATATATATATATATATATATATATATATATATATATATATATATATATATATATATATATATATATATATATATATATATATATATATAATATAAAATATTTAATGCGTAACCATTAATCTCTTAAACCTATCGCTATTAAATGATTCTTTGGTCTAGCCTGTTAAATAACAAGAATAATTGACTCATAAGTTTAAAATAAGAAGTTTATTTTTTTTACATTTCCTTTTCAGTTATACGTTAAAATACATTTTCTAATTTTATCTTTAATAGATTAAAGAAAAAATCATTTAATTTCATGATTTTTAGCCTTACGTGTTTAATAATTTGTCAATTGGTGTACTCGTGAGCTTTTTATTTTAGATTTCTTGTTGTCTTGTTTTAGGCTCATTAGAGCATCTCCAACCGTGAACTCATTTTTGAGTTCTTTGTGGGACCTATTAAGCCACGTCAGCTTGAAGCAACTCAACTAATTTTTCACTCCAATGGTGCAATTCTGAAGAACTCATATTGGGTCCCACAAGTTTACTTTATGTGTTAATATTTTATTCATATTAAATTTTATATCACTTAAAATAATAATTTTAATTTTTTTACAAAAAATTATTTCAATCTACTATGTAGTCCAACCGGTATATAGTGTTGTTTTAAGGAAAAATATTTCATTCTACTATATAAACTTAAAAAAAATTAGATTAAATTTTAAAAAATATTTCAATCTCTCCTTAGTTAATTTTAGTGTTTTAAATTAAATTTGATATAAAATAAAATTAAAATTAAAATTAAAAATTAAAATAAATAAATAAAAAATAAATAAAATTCAAATTAAACTTATAATTTAAACTTATAATTAAAATATAGTTTTCATATTATAAAATCAATATTTTAATATTGTAATTATAATTTTCATATGATAATTAAAATGATAAATAAAATTTTATATTAAATTATAATTTTTATATTATAAAATTAATATTTTAATATAAGAACAGTTGAAGAACCGTTGCTTAATTAAGCACCGTTCGACAACATGGCAATCTTGGAAACAAGAAATATGAGTGCCATGTTGGCAAACCCACTCTAAGAACTCCCATTGGAGTTGGTCTTAGTTACATGATTACATCTATTTGTTTCTCATATTGTCTTTATGCTTATTTAGTTTACACTTTTTATATTGTTTTGTGAATATTCAACTGATGATTTTTTATTTAATGGGTTCCCTAAATTCTTCCTCTCCAATTGCTCTTGAGTTAAGCATCCTCCAATAACAAATTCTATCAACCTTCGATTGATAATTTCAAAATCTACGAATAAATGTTTATATTGAAAAATACAATAAAAAAAATTAATTATTAAATTTTAATAAAATCAATGCACAATTTTTAAAAATAAATTCCACATTTAACTTTTAATATTTAGGAATATTTTGAGGATCATTTTATGAAAGAGAATTTTTTTTAGGGTTTCCAATCTCTTAGGTGACATCCATTCCATTCAACAAGACAATCACTTCCTCTTTACCTACTTCACTAACATGAAAATTGTATTGTTCAAAAAAATAGAGGGTGTGTGTGTTCTCCTTGCAAGGAAAGGGAGAGTCAAAGACCCTAGTAGGTATATTACATGAATAAGGCGTGGACTGTTTCAGAATATGTTATACCAAATAGTTAAGACATATCTATTTTGGTATTTTTAGTGTGTTCTGATGCACATGTGGGCGACTTTTATGGGAGTGTATTGTGGGAATTTCTGTTATTGCAGATTCTGTTTATTTTCATAAAAAGGTTCCTTGAGCCTTTTTAGGAAAGTTTGTATTTTGCTCCTATTATTATACATGTTGATTTGTAGGCAGTTTATACTGATTGCTGCTATTTGTGCGCCTTAAGAAGTCCAAGTCCAGTAGGTCTGAAGGCTATTTAAAGTGGAAAAAAAATCCTATTGGAGTAAGATAGCATAACGTGAAGAATCTAGGGAATAAGAATTAACTGTTGTTTTGGTTGGTCTTTAGGGTTTTTTGTTTGTTAATTGTATGTCACTCATGTATCTTATGATGCATTGAGTTTGACTGATTGTTCATTGTTCATTGTCCACTCTAAAGTTGTTAAGCAAAAGTGTATTGTTCTTGATTGAAGCTTTTAAACAAGATCAAGTATTGTCTTGGAAGTGTGATACTTCTTTTGTTTTGGAATTGTTGACTGTCACTGGGATTGTGACTGATTAGGAAGTGAGAGGGGGATCTCATATCTAGAGGGTGTCTAGGTAGAAGTTGCACAAGGTATGCCTTAGGCGAGAAGTTGTAAACGGGAGAGTTTAGCTTTGAACTAATGCTATCATAGTGAATTTACTTCCTGGCTTGGTAGCCCCCAGATGTAGGTGAGTTGCATCGAACTGGGTTAACAATTCTGGTGTTATCTTTACGTTTCTGTCATTTATTTTTCTGCATCTTTTCTTGTGAGATCAAATTGTTGTTGATCCTAGTATTGTGACTTATGTCTCAACATCTGGTATCTGTGTGCCAGAATTTTAATTGGCATAAGAGCAGGTCACCCTGTTCTATTTTTGGGTGAGCTTCAGGGAGTTTGTATTCTGGTACTATGGATAAGGAAGGAGGAGGAAATGTTAATATGCCTCCAGCCTTGGATGACACTAATTATGACTATTCGAAGGCACGTATGGTGGCTTTCTTAAAATCTATGGATAAAAAAACTTGAAAGGCTATCATCAAAGGTTGGGAACACCCTGTGGTAAAGGATAAGGATGGAAAAGAAACCTTGAAGCCAGAAGAGCATTATTTTTAGTGTGTTCTGTTTTTCCGCCGGTGGTTTTTCGCAGTTGCGACAAATTGCACTTTATTTGTAACTTGCAATGAGTTTGCAACTGAATTTGGTCATGGATTTTGGAAAGGATTTGTAACAATTTCAATAACGTTTGGTGAATAACTTGTTGACATATGATGATGATAAATTCTCTGAAGGTTGTTTAAAAGTGGGTTTAGATTATTCAACAAAGTTTCAATTTATATATGGATTTTTAAAATCAAATCCTTATTGGTAGAAAGAAAACAGAATATACTCATCATGTAAATTATAAATATAATCATTGAATGTTAGGCATAGATGGTTTGCAAGCTGAGGGAGGCCTATGTTGATGACTACAATGGCAATGGTCCCTGCCAGTTTGTGTGTGCAGAGATTAGCTGCTCAAGCTATAAATGAGAGAAAGATTTTATTTATCTTATTTCATTTTGTAATACATTATTCTCTGTATCATACTCATATGTTAGTCTATTGCAGGTTCTACTTCTTAAGTGTAAATACACTTGTACATAATGACTAGTCCATGTAT